CCTCATACTTGCTTGTGACCCTGGGTAAGTTTCTGAGCTCGTCTCCTCACCTGTAAAATGGATGCAGCAGTATCTCCCTTTTGGTGTGGATGTGAAAATCACATAACAAGCCGGTGCCTGACACATGGTAGAGGCTCAGCAAACAAATTAGCACTCCAGCACCTAAGCCCCCTCCTGCTGCTTTGCGCCCATCACATGGAGATCTTGGTGCATTGTCAAGTGTTTTTTCTACTGTTCCCAGGGACGTAAAAACCCACAGATTTGCTGACAAGTCTCAAGAAACCACCAGGCTTAATGAATGCGCACATGTTGCTAATGGAGGCAGATGCAGGGGCTCTAAATTTCTATAGAATTCAGAGAAAGGAAGAGGCTTAAAAACATTTGTATCATCTGACCCAGCAATTTCACTTCTGGAAATCTACTTGAAAGCAACCACCCTGGCCCAAGTGGTGTGGCTCAGTAGCTGAGCATCAACCTATGAACCAGGAGGTCACAGTTCAATTCCCAGTCAAGGCACATGCCCAGGTTTCAGGCTCCATTCCTAGTAGCGGGCATGCAGGAGGCAACCAATCAATGATTCTCTCTCATTATTGATGTTTCTATCTCTCCCTCTCCCTTCCTATCTGAAATCAATAAAATATATGTATATTTTTAAAAAGAAACCACCCTTTAAAAATAGACAGTTTTATTATCATAGTGTGATCTATATCCTATCTAATAAAAGAGGAATATGCAAATTAAACATCACTCTATCACTCTGTCACAAAGATGGTAGTGGCCACAAAGCTGGAGTGAGCAGGAGGCTTGGGTTGCCCCTGGCGATGGAAGAAACCAAGCTTCCCTGGCCGGCACTGGGCTCTGCTCAAGGCTACAAAGTTTCAATTATAGAAGATAAATAAATCCCAGATACCTGCTGAAAAAAAAAAAAAAAAGAAAAAGAAAAAAAGGAGAGGCTGGGAGCTTGGGTCACCGGGGGGATGTGGCCAGCCTGAAAATGGCCATCAGCCCCTCACCCAGGCTGGCCAGGCACTCCAGTGGGACCCCGACCCTAATCAGGGACACCCTGATTCAGGGAAAACCAGCTAGCCCCCACCCATGCACCAGGCCTCTATCCTATATATTAAAAGGGTAATATGCAAATTGACCCTAATAGCAGAATGACTGGTCACTATGACACACATTGACCACCAGGGGGCAGACACTCAATGCAGGAGCTGCCCCCTGGTGGTCAGTACACACCCACAGGGGGAGCTCTGCTCAGCCACAAGCCAGGCTGATGGCTGCCAGCACAGCGGTGTTGGCGGGAGCCTCTCCCACCTCCTCAGCAGCACTAAGGATGTCCGACTACAGCTTAGGCCTGCTCCCCGCTGGCAAGGGGACATCTCCCGAGGGCTGTCAGAGGGACATCTGACTTCCAGCTTAGGCCCAATCCCCCGGGGAGCGGGCCTAAGCCAGCAGGTGGACATCCCCCGAGGGGGTCCCAGACTGCGAGAGGGCATAGGCCAGGCTGAGGAACACCCCCCCCCCCCCGAGTACACAAATTTTTGTGCACTGGGCCTCTAGTATATATAAAGCGGTAATATGCAAATTAGCCAGGACACCATAACAGTCACTGCTACTCAGGAGGAGCTGTGCGTGCAGGTGGGAAGGAGGGGACTGCATGCGCAGTGAGGCAAGCCATGGATGGCACAGACCTGGAGTGGACACACACAAAGGGGGGCCTGCTCTAGCCGCAGCAGCGTGGCTGGAGCAGGCCTAGAGCGGATACACACACAGGAGTCCTGCCCAAACCACCACAGCATGGCTGGAGCAGACACACACACAGAGGGGCCTGCCCAAGCCTCCACAGTGTACACCAGCAGTCCCGCCTCTGCGCGGTAAAAGAACACCTTTTCTGACTGCTCATTGGCTAAGCTCCCAGTACACCACTCACAGTGTTCTTGGTAACTTGGGTAAAAAGAATCCAAGAAGGTGATCTAGGGTTTTCCCACCTCACTCCTGGAGGAAAAAACGAAGGTCCACTGCTGGAGGGGCTAAGATATGTCATATCCTGCCCTAGCCGGTTTGGATAGAGCCTCGGCCTGCGGACCACAGGGTCCAGGTTCAATTCTGATCAAGGGCATGTACCTAGGTTGCAGGCTCCTCCCTGGCCGGGGCCCAAGTCAGGGCTCATGCAGGAGGCAACCAATCAAAGTGTCCCTCTCACATTGATGTTTCTCTCTGTCTTTCCCTCTTTCACACTCTAAAAATCAATGGAAAAATATCCTCAGGTGAAGATTAAAAAAGAAAGAAAGAAATGTCATATCCTATGAAAGAGACATCTTGAAAATGCCTAAAGAAAGTTGTCATTTTTTTGTGGTGAAGGGACTGGCATCCGTGTTGATAAAAACACCTTGGCAGCTGCGGCAGCAGTGGAGTGATGAGGGTGGCGCCTTCCCCTGATAAGCCCGGTCGCCTCCCACAGAGGGAGGCCAAACTGTGGCTTAGGCCCGCTCCCCATGGGGATGGGCACGGGCCTAAGCTGTCAGTAGGACATTCCCTGAGGACTCCCAGACTGTGAGAGTGGGCAGGCTGGGCTGAGGGACCACCCTCCGCACAAATTTTGTGCACTGAGCCTCTAGTCTATATAAATGAGCAGTGGTGATCTTAAGTCATAATGAGGAAAAAAATCAATCAATAGAACAGACCCAGAAATGGCCCCAATGATGGTATTAGTAGGTACAGACATTAAGACAGTTATTATAACTATATTCTCTATGCGTAAGAAGATAAGGAGAGCTTATGCATATTAAGTAGAAACACAGAAGGTATAAAAAGACCCAGATTAAATTTCTAGAGAGAAAAAAAATACACTGTCTGAGATGAAAGATAGAGTAGATAGGATTAACAGCAGATTAGACAATGCAAAGGAAAAAAATTATCTATATATATAAAAGGCTAATATGCAAAGTGTCCCCTTGGGAGTTCGACTGGGAGTTCGATCGCTTACTATGATGTGCACTGACCACGAGGGGTCAGAAAGCCCTGATTGGCCCTGATTGCCAGCCACGCCTAGGGACCCTACCTGTGTGCACATTTCATGCACCGGGCCTCTAGTTCTATTATAAGCAGGGATGGTGTGGCTGATGAAGATGGTGATGATGGGAGTAACCATAGCTAACATTTATTAAGCTCTAGCCATGGACCAAGCCCTGTTTACATATCATATTTTTTAATCCCCACAGGAAGGCTATGAAGTAGGTACTATCATCACCCCTATTATACATGGAAGGAACAAAAGACATGTTGCTGAGCTCCTTGCTCCAGGCAAAGCAGCTGGAATCCAGGCAGTCTGGCTTTGGCTCCCACCTATTCATCCTCTTCACCTCCACAAAACGCCATGTAACCCCTGTGTGGTTGCCATACGGCATTCTCCCCATGGGTGAGGCTTGGTGCAGTGTGCTGAATGCTCCCTGAACCCCACAGCAATCAGAGGAAGGAGGGACTGCTGTCCCCATATTGTCCCTGTCCTGCAAACGTGGAAACCAAGGCTCATGGAAGTGATTTGCCCAGGGTCCCACAAATGGTAAGAGAAGCAGCCAGAGTTTGAGCCAGGTCCCTCTGATCCCAAACCCAGCCGTCCAGATGTGCCTCGGGGCCTCTGGAGGCGTCCAGGGAAAATGTTTTTGAGGCCCCTTTACAGCATCAATATCATGGCGTCTCTCCCACTAGAGAAAGGCTTTCTGGAATCAACAAAGCCTTCTGTTCCTGCCTACTTTTGCTCCTCCCCAAAGGATACCAGATGAGGGGAAGCTCTGGGAGGTAACCACATGCCCCATCAAGAGCCCAGATCTAGAAGACTGCTAGTAGGGTAAGACTCCCTTGGCAAGAGTAGAAGGGAGTGACTATTGAGCACACATTGGGGAGGCATGTCAAAGAATATGCCAGAGATACTTATTTGCCTGCTGTTTCCAATTCTTTTCTCACACATTAGGTGATCAGTCAGTGATGGAGTCAAGGAACTAATGTAGAAGAGAGTTGAGGGAGGAAACAGCTCCCAGCAGTGACTCTTGCTGGTGCACTTTTTGGGGTGAACTGGTTAGCTGGCAGCCAAAAGGTCAGCTTGGGCTCTATGCCCTTGAACAGCCATCTCATGGGCATAGAAGAAAACCAATTTCTACTACCTATGGGCTCTCCATCAAACCTTGCAGGGTTTTCTGTGGAGCCATTGTGGCAGACCATCTCTTCGTGGTGCCTCTGTGTGTCCTGCCATCAGCACCCCCACCCTAGTTAGGCTGGATCCACACCATGTGTTCATTAGAATTCCCATATGTGAACCAGGCGGACCTTCTGCAAGTTGTCGACACATGTCAATTGCCTTCAAATTGTGCATGTGCTTTGACTCGGCAAGTCCACTTTAGGGATAGATCCTACAGCAACAGTTCTAGACATGAACTGAGATTTCGGCACAGTGGTTTCTTCCACTGTACCACTGAACACTCTAGAGTAGTAACCCATATGGCCATCAATATGGGATTCATTAAATGAATGGCCCGTACCATGGAATACCAGACTGCCTTTCAAATGTTTCTGCAGAAGAATATTTAATGGCATAGAACTGTGTTCAAATTTCATTGGTAAGTGAAAAGAGAGGCTACAAATAACAACTTCCTAGTTTGGTCAGGAAAAGTGTGGAGATATATATATATATATATATATATATATATATATATATATATATATATATAGAGAGAGAGAGAGAGAGAGAGAGAGAGAGAGAGAGAGCGCAATGGAACCAGAAGGACATACACCGAACCCGTAATGCTGCTTAATGAATCCACAGGTGATTTTTAATTTCTCCTTATTGTTCATGTTTTCCAAATCTTCTACACTGAACATGTGCTTCTTTTGCAATCAGGAAGTTTAAAAAATAGATGTTAAAAATAATTTTGTTTTAAAATTCCCCCTTGCCAGGAAAGAGGAAACAGAAGGAGCAGACAGAGGTGGCCTCCACGAGAGCTAGAGTGGAAGGGACAGGGGCAGGCTCAGCTGGTGGGGGTGGGGGTGCCTCTTATATAAGGGGCTGCCTGCATGAAGGACTTCCAGCAGCGGCTTCCCCTCCTCTGGGCCGGGATCATGGAACTCCCCCTTCTGTGCGCGCTGGTGATGTTTGCTGGTGAGTGGGGACAGGAGCCACAGCTGGAAAGGGAAGGAGGGATGCGGGTAGGCCCTATAATATCTTTTTCCTAGACTGAACTGCTGCTTTAATCTCCACCGCCCTGGCCCCTCAAGCCCTTAACCCTCTGCCCCTTGCAAGGAGCCATCAGCGGCTTCCAGTCCCTTAGAACAGTGGCTTTGGCCAGAGAGGCCTGAGTGGCCAAGCTGTGGCGCCCTTCTGGCCTGCCTTGAAGGTCAGAGCCGAAGGTTCAGAATCCAGGGACCTGCTCAGCTGGCACCTGTGGCACTTTGGACAAAAATTACAGAAATGGCCTCCTCACTTCACCTTGTTCCCCTCCATCCTTTTGACCAAAGAATAACACTCATTTGCATAGAAACAGCACTCTGCATCCACGTTCATGTATCTCCCTTGAACCTGGGAAGTGGGTTCTGTTGACTTGGTGGGAGATGGGGCGATTTCTATTTCATCTTTAGCAGAAGATCAAATGTAAAAATGTGGCTTCTAGCAAATTGGCACCTCAACGTATGTGATTTTAGAAAGGATGCCTTGGGTCTCTACCCAGGTTCCTCCACTTACCAGCTACTATGACCTGGAACAAGTGACCGGGCCTCCATCTGCTCCTCTCTAAACTGGGGATCAAAAATAGTATTCATTGTCAGTTTCTTAGTTTTCATAAATACACCACAATTATGTAAGATGATACCACACTAGAGGAAAGTGGGTGGGCGCTCTATGAGAACTTTCTGTATGATCTTTGCAACTTTTCTCTACATCTAAGTTGACTTATTTAAAAAAATAGTCTTGCCCTGACCAGTTTGGCTCAGTGGCTAGAGCGTCGGCCTGTGGACTGAAGAGTCCCAGGTTCGATTCCGGTCAAGGGCATGTACCTTGGTTGCAGGCACATCCCCAGTAGGGGCTGTGCAGGAGGCAGCTGATCAATGTTTCTCTCTCCTAGATATTTCTAACACTCTATCCCTCTCCCTTCCTGTCTGTAAAAAATCAATAAAATATATTTTTTCTAAAAATAGTCTTTTTTTCATGGGATGAGATGGAATCAATCAATTGCTACATGGAAAGGCCCATGGCAAGCACTCATTGACATTATATTTTTTTAATGGATGTAGTGGTTGTTGTCGTTCTGTTATCCAAGGCCATTGGTTTGGACCAGATAGAGCAGAGGTGCCAGCCAGGGGTGCACGGACCTCCCCTTGGGATTCACGTCCTCTCCTTGTTGCCGGGCTCCTTGGCAGGTGTAACTCCAACCCAGGGCGGGATTCTGAACCTGAACAAGATGGTCAAACAAGTGACCAGGAAGACACCCATCACCTCCTATTGGTACTACGGCTGTCACTGTGGACGTGGTGGAAAAGGCCAACCCCTCGATGCCACGGACTGGTAACCCTTCCCAGGCAGGCCCACGGGTGGCAATCCTGTCCTCTCCATCTATTTATTCATTCTGTGGATCCGTTCTGTACTATGTGCTAGGAACTCTGCTAAGCTTTGACACAGCCCCAACCCTCCTGGAGCCTGCCTTCTAGAGCAGGGGTCCTCAAACTTTTTAAACAGGGGGCCAGTTCACTGTCCCTCAGACCGTTGGAGGGCCGGACTATAGTTTAAAAAAAAACTATGAACAAATTCCTATGCACACTGCACATATCTTATTTTGAGGTAAAAAAACAAAACGGGAACAAATACAATATTTGTATTTGCATGTGGCCCGTGGGCAGTAGTTTGAGGACCCCTATTCTAGAGGGCTCCCCAAAGTCTCTGAAGACCCCCCGCTTGCACTCTCAACCCCTAATCTAATTAGAATACCCACACACACTGCCTGCTGCCATTGCACGGGGTTTTTTAAAGGGCCTGACTCATTTTGCCATTATCTCATCGGATCTTCACCACAATCCTGGGAATCGGCCAGAGGACAGATGAGAGCCTGGGCCAGGCCCGGTCACTTCCCTGACCCACCACTTTCAGGCTGTGTGAGCTCGGGCAAGTGGCGTGGCCTCCCTGAGTCCCAGTTGCCCCAGCTGTGACATGAGGATCGTCCTAGTACCCCTGTCGTAGGGTGGTTGGGAAGATTAACAGATAATTTGTAGAAAAAGCGGGTGCCTGGGCCCTAGGAAGCACCCTGTAAGTGTTAGCCAGCGTGAGCACGCAGAAGACTAGACCCCTCAAGGCCTTGGCTCTTCCAAGGGGGCTCGGGTTCTCTGGGGCAGGGGCTGCCTGAGACCGAGCCGGCTGAGGACGATGCAGTGTGTCTGTGCTCCCTGCCCCACCTCCTGCCCTCTCCCTCCAGGTGCTGCCATGCTCATGACTGCTGCTATCGTCACCTGAAGCTCCACCACTGCCATTACTTCAGGGACCATTACAACTACACCTTTTCCCAGGGGGACATCCAGTGCTGTGAGTGTCTAGACTGGGGATTGGAGTTGTAGACTGAGGAAGGGAGTTCTGCTTTCATATGCTGTGCAATGAGGCACAAGCTACGCAACCTCTCTGTTTCTCTCGCATGTCCAGTGGCAATAGTGGGGCGGTGGAGGAGAGGCAGGAGTAGGGGTGGGAGTATGGAGAGGTCCAATGAGGGCTTTGGCTCCTTTAGGATCTGGAAGGCTGGCAGACCTCTGCTTAGATTCCAGCTGTGTGACTTTGAGTGCCTTGCTCAACCTCTCTGAATCTCAGTATCTTCATCTGGGAACTGAGGATGAGAACAGTATTCTATTCTACCCCATAGTGTTAATCCAAGAACTAGAATGAGGGCAGACAGATTGAGCTTCACAGATGCCTGCCGCAGGGCATGCCCCATAGCTGATCTTGTTTCTACTTCCATCATCACTGATCCTCACAGCAGCCCAGCCAGGAGGCAGCCCCACCCCATGAGCTCTATTTTATAGACCAGGAAATGGAGTGAGGAAGTGTTTGCCTGGGGTCACACCGCTGCCAGTAGTAGAGCCTGGGTTGCATCCCAGGTCACTTGGCTCCTGGGTCCATGCAGGAAGCAGGTGGCAGGTTCCATGGCTGGGAATCAAATGGGCACATCACCACTGCCCCTGTTCACTGAGGGCTTAATAATAATAACAATGACACGAATAGTAATAGCCGGCATTTATCGACCACTTACTTGTACTGAGTGCTTTGCCTTCTTACTTTAATTCTCACAGCCTCCCCCCCCCGCCCCCCCCAGGCAGCGCTTCTCATCATCGCCATTTTACAGATAATGAAACTGAAGTACTGTGGTCCCTCCTGCCTCAGAGTCTTTGCACAGGCTGTTCCATCAGCCTGGAACACTCCCACTCCTCCACCTGGCTTCCCACAGGGAGAGAGACCCTCTGACCTCAGCTCCAATGGCTCTGGCCCACTGCGTTCCTGCCGTGGCCCTGGTATTGTTTCTGACTCCCATAGAGCACAGTTTGATATTCGTTTCTGCAGTTCTCAAATACCTGCTGCCCCACGCACGCACGGGAGTGTGAATCTCAGAGGTCAGCTGTGTTCAGTCCTGTCTCCTTCCCCCTCACCCTCCCAACCCCGGCCGGCCACATGATAGGTGCAAATAAATAAAGGCACACGGGAGGTCTTGGTAGGTACCCAAGGTCACGCAGCTAGAGTCCAAGTAGCTGGGAAGGACACCCTAAAGCTGAGCGAGGACGGCACTGCCTTCAGAGGTTCCCTCCAGGGACCCTAGACCCAGCCCTGGCTCGGCCTCAGAAATGGACGGACACTGAGCCCCCCTCCTGCACCCCACAGCTGACAAAGGGAGCTGGTGTGAGCAGCAGCTGTGCGCCTGTGACAAGGAGGTGGCCTTCTGCCTGAAGCGTCAGCGGGGCACCTACCAGAAGAAGCTGCGTTTCTCCCGTTTCTCCAGGTCCCGCTGCAAGGGACAAACCCCTCTGTGCTAGAAGAAGCCTGCCCGGCTGTCCCACCCTCCCTACCCGGGTCCTCAGAAGTCCCACGGGATTGCTGACACCCCTGTCCCAGAAGTAACCAACCCCCTAAAGCAGCCTGGCTCCCTTAACACCCCCCCAGGGCGCGCGAGAGTCAGCCTCTCCTCCACCACCCGCCTGCCTCTTGGACCTTCTAAAATAAATCTCCCAACAGCAGCTGTGTCCTTGGAGGGGGATTGAGATCTTAGGAAAAGCCAAGGCCAGGGAGCCAGGGGGAAGGTGTTTGGGTCAAAGCTGCAGGTGTTGGGGGCCTGTCACTGACACTCACTCCCCAGGCCTCCCCACCTCAGTCTCACTCCTCTAATACACTGTCCAAGCTGCGGCCTGAGTGGCCTCTCTAATGGGCAGCATTGATCTGTCTGTCCTCCCGACTCTACTCCTTAAACCTCTCAGGCTCTCCCTCACCCCAGGTAGGGCCTCTCGCAGGAGACGCAGCAGTTTGGACCCTCCCACCCCCCAATCTGGCGCTGTGTCCCTCTCCCCACTAGGCTTCAGGTCCTGGTGGGCGGGGCCCATGCCCATCGAGGACTCATTGCATCCCTGGTACCCAAAGCAGTGCCAAGAAGGGGCTGTGTAAATGCCTCTTGAGGGAAGGGCTGGACGAAGCCCGCGAGCACAGGCCACATGTCCTCCAGGCCCTTCCTCTCCTGCCCCCAGGCCTCTGCTCAGGTGGGCTTTCCATCGAGGCTCCTCGCTCCAAGGGTTGCTTCCTACAGAAGTCTCCCCTGGCTGATTCCTCCTGGCCCCCAGGCCTCACTCCCTCCTCCGAGCTCCCATAGCACTTGATGGGTCTGCAGTTTACCAAGCTGTACCTTGAGTCGACTTATCATTGTCTGGACTTCTCTGATCTCTCCCAACTAGACTGGCGCTCCCGGAGGCCGGAGGCCGTGTCTGTCACATCTTTGTTTCCTCTGCTCCTCTCCGTAATAGTGTTCCATTCATGCTAACGGATCAAATGGAGATTGTGGCAGATGCTGTGAGTGCTTCACTTCAGATCCCCTTCTGGCCCAGGTCCCCTACTCCCAGCTCAGCCAGATGTTGGCTGTGAACTGTTCACCTCTGCCTCTTAAGGATTGACCTCGTCTGCTGGGAACTACCTTGCCTATCCCCCCTACCCTCCACATCACCCACCTCTAACCAATGCATATGGAATATAATACCAGGGAATGGATAATTGCCCACCCCCATCTGCGTGGGACCACCTGGGTGGTACAGTGCATGCCCCAGAGCTCCTCCTGGCATCAGGCTGAGGGTAGACATCTGGAACCACCTCTGCTTGCTTTGTCCCCTGGCCTGTCCTGTTGCCCTTGTTCCCTTACAGGTTTCTCGTGAGAGCACTTCCTCCATAAATCCTGCGCTTGCCCAAGAATCCTCATCTCGGGCATGGCTTCTAGGGAAACTGAGTTTGGATGGATGGATGGATGGATGGATGGATGGATGGATGGATGGATGGATGGATGATGGATGAATGGATAGCTTTTTCATATAAGGATCCACAATCTGTCATTCATATGTAAGCAGCCATGTCTCCAGCAACAGGGCTGAGGCACCTGGAGCCACCCACAACCTCCGGCCTGTGGTGCCCAGATGAGAAACAGCTGGCCAAGCAGTTTTCCTTCTATGTGAAGCTCAGTGCCTCGTACGAGGCAGTATAATAGGAATGAAGGACTATGGGGCCCAAGTTCAAATTTTAGTTATACCACTGGCTAGCCATGCGACCTTCCAGGAGGGATCTTGCTTTCCTTGTGTGTGAAGTATCAATGAAACTAAGAAGAAAAAAGTTTTCAACAGGATTAATGCCTACGCTCTTAGCACAGTGCTTGGCACATGGTAACCCCTCTTTAAATGTTAACTGCATTGTTGTTGTTGTTACTAGGTAGTAACCAAATCTGCGGTCACCCCCAAGCTACTAGTAAGCCAGGAGGAGAATAGTTCACCAATGTTCCCCTCTTTCCACCCAACTCCTCTCTCCCTTCTGGATGACTGTGCAGCTGTTCACTTAGATCCTCATGCATGATGTCCACTTCATCCAAGGCCGAGAGCTGGCGATGCCACTGTCCGTCAGAGCGCCCCTGTTCCGGGCTCTGTGGCTTTGACAATGTCAGTGTTGGCAGGTATGGGCATTTATCCCCCCTTTTAAAATTGAGCAACTTGATGCTCAGAATGGGGACAGGAACGGCCCGAGGTCCCGCAACCTGCAAAAGGCAGAGCCAGGAGGCCACCCCAGACCCTTCCCACTCTGTCCCCCGGCACCCCGCCCTGTTTATACCGATCAGGAAGCTTCCAGCAGAAAACGGTGACTCAATGGGCTTCAACAATGAGGACATTTATGAGCTCACAAGACAATCAGTCCAGGGGGAAGGTGGCTCTTTACTGGCTTGATAGCGTCATCAGCACCTGGTTTCTCTCCCGCTCCCGGCCGGCCACCCTCTCTGTGTTGGTTGGGTTGGTCTTCCAGGTGGCTCCTCCTGGCTCCCAGGCGGCAGCTGTGATCCAGACCTCGAGCCAGGACATGTCAACAACCAGCAGAGAAAATGCTGCCTCTTCTGTGTGTCTCTTTTTAATTAGCCCTATCACCACCACCCAGCAGCCCTCCCACTCAGGGCCGGCCACCCGAAACCATGAGGCCCCAGTGATTACCCAGGTCGGTTTAGATTCCTCGGGACTTATTTACCTCTCAGACAGGGCAAGGTCAATGTCTCTAAGGGATGAGTAGCTGCTAAGATGGGGGCTGTTGAGATTATTGATAGGATTGGTGTTGGGTGGGCAATCCCAGGGCTGAGTCCAGAGCAGGGCTGTGTCCGGAATGCTTCCCTCTGTGAGCTAGGAACCTAGGGAAGGGCCTGGTGATCACATAGTAGGTATTAGTAGGTATTTGTTGAATGAATGAATGAATGAATGAATGAATGAATCCCATGTTGGTAAAGACATGGAGCTTTAGACCAAGAGGAGAGATGGGGTCTCAGGGCAGCCAGAACTGAGTCCCTGGAGTAAGGTAAGCCCTTCCCACCTCTGAGCTCTCCTCTGGGCCAGTTTCCCATCACTGGGGTTGGAGAAGAGGCACAGGGAAGGGGAGACTCACAGGCATCCCTGTCTGTCCCTGTCTCTCATGGACCCTGGATGTAGGAGACAGACAGAAGGACGCATTCATTGAGCTTCCTGTTCCTCTGAGGTCAGTTTCTGCAAAGGGGCACCCGTGGGAGGGGCAGAAGGGACACCGAACACCTGGGCTGCCCACTTACCCACTCCTCTCCACTCCCTTGGGGCACCTGCACTTTCCAGCTGCGGAAACTGAAGCTTTAGGATGAGTCACTTGCTGATAAGTGGCAGGGCTGGGATTTGAACGCAGGTCCCTCTGGCTGCAGAGCCATGTCTCACCAGCCTACCTCCCACACTCTTTACTGGGACAATTGGTGACTCAGCCCTGGGTCCCCTTTCAGGGGAGCATAGCCACGCCCGGGACCAGGCGATGAGGCTGGGTGTGGCAAGGCAGGAAACTTGGGTAAAGGGCTAGTGAGTAATAATCTTATCGACAATAACAATAGTGCTCAAGTAGAACCCTCACATTTGGGGCACTTTCTCCCACACAGAGCCCCTTCCCACCACTGGCTGACCCAATCCACAGGTCACCCGGATTCAGGTCTCACCTCTGGGGTGTGGGGGCCCGGCCCAGGCTGATGCCTCTCCATGTCTCTGCCTATTTTTCCAGCTGGATCTCCCTCCCCACACATCCTCCCCTCACTGCCAGGTGCTGGTGGGGCTGGGGCTCCTGTCCCTTCCACCACATTTCAGTGTCCCTGGCGGGACAATGAGGACATTGACACTCGGGGTCCTGCATCCTCGCTCACTGCTGTGTCAGCCGAGAGCCAGCCTGACCCTGGGGCAGTCTGGACGACCCAGAGTCAGGGACTGACTGGCTCTCTCGCTTAGGAAGCTCTGGATATGTTTGTTTGTCTTAGTTTTTTCACTTAAAGAAGAGATTTTAAAACAGTTTGTGAAAACTTGAAGCTGAGAAGGCAGGCCGAGGGATTCCTCCCTGTTCACTCTCTGCCTTGGGTTCCTGGCCAAGCCTTGCTCACCTTGGAGCCTCTCGGGGAAGGTACTTGCCAGAGCTCTTTGCAAGAGAGTTGAGCTGACAGTTACTCACTCCCTCAGGAAAACGTCCTTGTGCTCCCAACTGGAAGCATCGCCCCCCCTCCTCACCCCCCGCCCCCAAACCATCATCACCCTTACCACTCCCTGTCTCTCTGCCTTAATTCTAATTCTCTGGTTTATACTTCCTGGTGATTTTCTTCATCATTTACTCATTCAGTTTATCTCACTCTAGTGCTCCACTAGAATATAAACACTCCGAATGCAGGGACCACAACATCCCCAGCATCCAGAACAAAGCTGGAGACATGTAAAATATCTGATGAATGAATGGATGAATGAATGGATGAATGAATGAAAATTGATAGGAAAGCTCATTCTATTTCTCTCAACTGAGCTATTTCCCAGCTGTGTGACCTTGGGCTAGTGACTCTACTTCTGTGATTCTCGATTTGTGATCCCTAAACAGGGGTGATCACACCTACCTCTTGGGGCTGTTTATGAATTCCATGAATGGGAATTTTTTTACCAAACCCTCACCTCTCATTTTTTTCCTTTTTTAAAAAGTTTTTATTGATTTCAGAGAGGAAGGGAGAGGGAAAGAGAGATAGAAACATTAATGATGACAGAGAATCATGGATTTGCTACCTCCTGCACTCCCCCTCTTGGGGATCGAGCCGGAATCTTGGGCATATGCCCTAACCTGGAATTGAACTGCTACCTCCTGGTTTATAGGTTGATGCTCAACCACTGAGCCACAGCAGCTGGGCACCCTCACCTCTTTCTTGATGAGTACTTGCGGTTGGTGAGCAGTTTGGGACAGAGTGGAAAGGGTAGGTGTGCAGATTGGAAAGGGAACACGTTTTATCACCTCCCAGCCCCTCCCTCACGACAATCACAAATCAGCCACCCCTCCCAAGAACACTGCCCTACTCCCAGGAGGCCTTGGAAGTGGGTCGAAGGTCATTCTCCTCTGGAGTCCCCTCCAGGAGCCAGGTTGGGCTGAGGCGAGTGAAAGCCCAGACTACCTGCTCCCCCAAGGATCCAGTCTGAGGCCTAACTGGTTTGGCTCAGTGGATAGAGCGTCAGCCTGCGGACTGAAGGGTCCCGGGTTCGATTCCGGTCAGGGGCATGTGCCTTGGTTGTGGGCACATCCCCAGTGGGAGGTGTGCAGGAGGCAGCTGATCAATGTTTCTCTCTCATTGATGTTTCTAACTCTCTCTCTCTCCCTTCCTCTCTGTAAAAAAATCAATAAAAAATATTTTTTTAAAAAAAGGATCCAACCTGAGATGAGCTGGCGCTGTTCTGGGCTCTGCAGACGGCCTGCAGCAGTGCCCCTCCCTGGCCCTGAGCACCCCAGGTCCCGGAAACGCATCTCAGAAGGAAGAGGAAGAATCCACCTGGTTTCCTAAGAGGGCGATGGGAAGGCGCAGTTCTCTAAGCTAAGCACCTTACATCCTCTTCTCGCTGACACCCCATTACTCTACAGATGAGGAAGCAGGCTCTGTGAGAACCACTCCCGAGGCCACTCACTCAGCCAGAAGCGGCAGAGGCCTGGCTCCGGAGGGGAAGCCACAGGAGGCCTGCATCCCCGAGCCGCCCTCCCATGAATCCCTGGGGGAGCTTGTTTAAAATGCAGGCTGTAACCCTGACTGGTTTGGCTCAGTGGCCGGCGGACTGAAGGGTCCCAGGTTCGATTCCAGATTGATCCCCAGTAGGGGGCATGCAGGAAGCAACCAATCAATGATTCTCTCTCATCATTGATGCTTCTAGCTCTCTCTCCCACTCCCTTCCTCTCTGAAATTAATAAAAATGTATTTTTTTTAAAAAAAAATAGTTGGGTGAACTAACAGGCGCTTGAGAGGTGCTCAAGACAGCCGGCTCCATGCTGACACCACCTCACCCTGACATCTTCCTCAGGTGCCCCGAGAGTCAGCCCGACGTGGATTCTCATCTCTGGGAAGTCCCCCACCAGGGAGAGGAAGATGAGAACATGGATCAGCTCTTGAGCAAAAACACAGCGGGCAGCAGGGCAAGGCAGTCAAGGAGCTGTGGGCTGGGAGCCAGGAGACCCCACACGAGACCCCTTGTCACTCCTTTACTCCGTGACCTCTATAGGGACCAGAATGTGCCACCCCAAGATATGCCACATTGGCATAAAAATGAGTTCGAGCCAAAGGCAACTGAGAATTGACAGACACGCAAGGGTTCTCTGTTCTCCCCTTGTCGCCTAAAAGGGCCTGTTTCTCTCTGAAGAAGGCGCCCACACCCCTGTCCCTGCCCTCGTACCAGGGAGAGGAGAACAGCTCTTATCTTCAAAGATAGGGCGTCAACACCAAGATGAATTTGCATAAACAAACTTTACTGGTATAGCCCTTATCTTCCACTGGTTTCCTCCTATATTGCCTAGTCATTTCTCCCAATTGATAGTCCCTTGATGTCTAAACCCTCTATCCTTTGCTAAGAACGTAGATAAGCCTGAGTCTGACCCCTTCTGTGACTTTCACTTCTTGACTCTGAACTCCCGGGCACGTAGATATTAGTCAATGTCTCCTGCCTTTTCTCCTGTTATTGTGTCTTTTGTCAGTTCAATTCCCAGGCCCTCATGCACCACGCCTAAAAGCTTGGAGGGAAAGGTTTTCCGCAGCAACCCTGGCCCGCAGTTCCCCATTAACACCCAAGAGCCCAAGAGAAACAACTCATGTTCTATGGAAAGAAAAGTAAAGCAAGATGCGCAGCAGGAGGCGTGGCCAGCGTGGTTTGGTCGGTAGGAGCGCCATCCCATACACCCAGAGGCCCCAGGTCGGACTCCCGGTCAGGGCACACGCCTAGGTTTCAGGTGCGTGTGGGAGGCAACCAGTCAAGGTTTCTCACATCCATGTTTGTTTTCTCTCTCTTCCTCCCTTTCTCTCCCTCCCTCTCTCTCTCTTTCTCAATCTCCCTTCCCCTCTCTCTAAAAATCAATAAAAATGTCCTCGGGTGAGGATTAGAAAGAGAAAAGATAAGTATATTCCCCTTGACTCTCTGGGGAAAATGAGCCACAGGAAAGGCTGGTGAGAGAAGCCCTCTAACATAGCGGCCAGGAGTGTGGCTCAGGGTCCCGCACACAAGGGCCTCCCGCTCTGGGCTCTCCTGACTCCTGGGGGTAGGATCTTGGGAACAAGTTATTGAACCTCTCTGAGCCCAGTTTCTTTACTACAACACCGGGTGCTAATACCGCCTTCACCAGGTGTTGTGAGAGATGAAGGGCAGCGTAGCAGCCTGCCTGGCATGTAGAGACCAGCCCGCGGATCCTGGGGCAGCTGTCGGGACTGTCTGGTTGTTAAATGAATGTTATCAGCCTTGCCAGCATCACTGTGTTTTCTTCCTTCCCCGGAGGGCTCGCCCTCACCCACACCAGCAGGCCACGGGGGAGGGGCCCTGCCTCAGCTGTCTCGACTGGACTTCGGCCTGCAGGGCTGGGGGCAGCCCGTGGATGCCATTAACTAGTTACTCTCCCCTCCGGGGACAGCAGGCAGCCTGCCAAGGTCTGCACTGAAACCTTGCCTGGGCGTCATGGGAAGCAGGGGGCGGCCACATTGATTCAGCACACTTTCCTGGGCAAAGAGGTGCGCTCTGGGGTTGGTACCCTTTTGCGCTGCTGTGGTTCCCGGGGCAAACTCCTTGACTTCTCTGTGCCCAGTCTCTTCACACACAGGACGGGGAGTTCGTAGTACTTCCCTCACGGGTTACTACGAGGATCAGTGAGACCATGTGAGGACGCTATCCACTTTGGGACCTGCTCCAGGAGTCAGGCACCAGGCCAAGCAGTGCAGGTCAAAAAGGAGCCCCAGTCCCCATCCTCAGGATGTCTCCGTTCCCATGAGAAGCTCTAACGCTGCTAGGGGGAACCAGTTCAGGCTGGGGAGACGGCCCCGAACTTCAGGGCCTGCGAACCCGGTTCAGGTCCTGGCACCGCTAACGTGCGTGTGACCTTAATTAAGCAAGATGCCTTTCTGTCTCTCACTTTCCCACTCTGTACCATGGGATGAGCTGAGGCTATATTGGGTCATGGATAAAAAAACACTTTGAAAAGCATACACTATTTCGGAGGGCTGGGGTGTTCTGCATAGGAAGAAAGTCTGCAAGCTGGAACGCGTTTGAACTTCGACTGGATGCTCGACAGGACAGCACCCCTGTCTTAGATAAAGTGATCCTCACAGAAGATAATAGCAGGTTCGAGGTTTACAGCCAGCTCGTTTCTTTGAAACCTGAGTAATTTTGGCGTCCAGCAGCTGGCT